ATAGTAAAGTATCTATGTCACCTTTCGCTGTTTTTAAAATGCTGTTTTTATGTTTAAATAGAAAATAAACTTATCCTCTCATCACTTCCTCTTCTAAATGCTTTGAAATTGACCTCTGTCTCTTTAAGAACCTCCTTCTGTTCGTCCCATTGGTTGGGGGGGGGGGGGGGTTTCACACGCAAGGGGGCTCCTGCGCCATGATGCAGTTTACTTGGCATCTGAAAATACATTTCCTCAAAGGTACTTTTAATCTGAAAAGAGCTTCACTGAGTGAGCACTAATGTTGAGAGCTCAGCAGACAGCTAGGTTTCACTTTCACTTTGACCCGAGAGCCTGCAGGAGTCATGGGCGGGCTGTGTGGGGAGGGGGGGAGTGCGCTCTGCCATGAGGAAGTTCGGCTTAAAGACACGTCCCAGGGGCGTTTCTGGCTCCCAAATGTGTTTCTGGTCCCCACCTGTCGTTTTGCTCCTCAGCAGCTTACTAAAAACGCTGCAGGATTTCTCAAACATGCATGAATGAGTCAGAGCAAGGCTTTGGACATGTTTTTTATGAGAATATAACATTATAACATGATATAAAACTCAAAAAAGATTATTTTACATGATATTGCCCCTTTAAAATGATTACGGTAGCTAAAAATTGTCATCTCTTTTGTTCTCTTTAACCTGCGATGTGTGCATGTTGAAAAAAAAATCCCCTTACCGTCTAAAATCCTCAAAGTGAAACGGAAAAAGCAAAGCGAGAACACAAACTGACAAGTGGCCGGTTATTTAATGTGCCATGTGACACTGTGAGGCAGAGGGTCAAGCCTTGCCGTGGTGAGTCTTGAGAGATAAAGACAGATCCCTGAGTCCGTTAGCTAATCCTGACAGAGAAGTCCTGCCAACACCATTAGGATAAACCCGTCTGAGTCAGTGCAGCCACTCAACACAGGAATACAACACAGCAGCGTTTCCCCTACGCCAGTTTTGCTAGGGAATCCTAATCTTACTTGCACTCCCGACCTCCCCGGGATTTTTGTATCTAAAGTTACCATTACAGCGTCACCATTACAGACACGTCCGYCTTGCATGCGTGACCAAACTCCTGTTAGCAGAGAGAGAACATTACAGCAGCATTTTAGTGAGACTCCCTGTTTCTGCTGCTTTGGTTATTGGAATTAAACAATACCCAACACTAAATGAAGTATAATTGTAGGCCAACTTTATGGTTATTTACAAGCCTTTGGCAAAGTGCAAATGACTACATGAGCTGAAATSTAGAAAATGTAATCCCCTTACATGAAATAAAAATCATTTAAAAAGACAGAAATAAGTCTGTCTGGCAAATTAAAAAACAYCAATTTTAAGTATTTTTGTTTTACTGTATAAAGAACTACCTGTACTATATATTTTTTAATATCACTCTTTTGAATATGACAGTTATATAAGCAAAAACACCCTTTCATCTCAGATTCTTTCGCCCATTGATCTGTGATGAAACACTGCAAAGAGGTGAAAAATACAAACTGGGTACTAATATGGTCATACAGTCACATTAGCTGCGTTTCCATTGTAAATGTGCGCAAAACTTTGTCGATATTCTGTTAATGTCGAAAAACACAGTTTCGTAACTGCAGTGTTTCCATTAAGTAAGAAATGCTATTAAAGTC